TTTCTGGGTTAGGATGTCTCTGAACTCAGAAGGGATTGGGCTGACACGTGGGGACACTGCCACAACCCAAACACAAGCAACAACCATCTTCAGGGGGAGAAATTTGGCTCCACAACACTGCAGCTCAGGCTTGTCATTACTGGAAGCCAAACTGGCTTTAGGCACTAGTGCACTGAACAATTTCCAGTTGTTATCAAAATCTATTGGACTTCTTAACCACAAGTCCCTGAGCTGATGTACTACACCCAACAGGTTCCAGGTCCCTGACTTGTTTGTTCAGAAATTATTTATTTGTTCTACAAACAGAAATAAGGTTAAATTAACAACTGGGGGGAAAAAAAATCAGCCGCACACCATGCCTGATTTCTAAAGGCATTTGGCTGCCTGAGCTGATCTTTCCCTTGCAGATCACCATTCCCCCAAATATAAATACCATTTTCCAAACCCTTCCTGTCAAATTTCACTCCATGCTGAGGACGTGTGCAGCTCTGTGCATGAGTGTGTGCTCACTCCTGCTTAAATGTCCCTCTTTAGACACTCAGCTCCCTTTGAGACCCTGCAGGATGCTCAGCAGGGCTGAAAATCCATGAGAGAGCTGGTTGCAGTGAAATTCAGGGATGCTTCAGGGTGCTAAAACCTGTCCTGAATCCCAGTCCTCTGTACCACTATCAGCGTAGCAATTCCTTCCAGGTGATTTAGTGAAAAAGCTGTCATTTATGGTCAAAAGAAAGATGACAGGTGAGTTCCCTGCAATTCCGGAATTCACTGGAAGGATTTTTTAATCATCTCATCAAAAATACAGGAACTATTCTTGAGTAGAGCCCTATCCACCCTGTCTCAAGTGCTCATCTTGCCTGGCAGTAGGCAGCTGGAAATTTTTTGCTTCAAAGCTCATTCTCTTTGGATCCTTTGGCAGGGGGTAGAACACAAGGGGCATCTCCAGAGGATGATTTGGCTGTGCTATTTTAGACCCTTGCCCTGGAAGGAGATGCATCTGCCTCTGTGCTGCATGTTTCCCCACGTGGACATGAAGTGAGTGTTAGGTGACACAGGCTCAGACTTGATAACATGGAGGTTTGAATTCAACCTAATTCACCTACAGATGCTCAGAGGGGGCTTCCATGGGGTGAGCACAAAAACTGGTATAGCATAAATTGCTTCTCCCATGGACTTTGACTTCCTCCTTTGAAATTGTCTCCTCTGCCTTCAAACTTATTGAAAGGTCCAGTGTGAGCAGCACAGATTACCTTAAATCTAAGTGAATATTGGGCTTGACTTTTAATTCCATCTTTATTCTCCACCAGTCCTTCCATTTCCATGAGCTTTAATCAGGTAACAGCTTTAAATCTGTGTGTGTGCATTAAGTATCATATTTAATGTTTCTGAACCTAAATCTTGTTTCTCACACAACTGCAGTTGTGTCCACAACAGCAGTGTTGGTTTAAATTGCCAGAAACATTATTTTGGTGGGGTTGGGTGGGGACCGAGTGTTTCAAATATGATTGTACAGCTGTCAGTACCACTGTGCAACTGGGAATTAAGCCTTTAAAAATATGTTTAATCATAACTTTCAGTGACTGAGAAGTCGGTTTAATGTGGACGAATGGAGTTACGTGGGGAATGAAACCTGAAATGCAAAGGGAAAAAAAAAACTTCATAAGCCTTAAAAAAACCAGGAGCAAATAGCAAACAGACAGACCACAGTTTCTCCAAAAAAGCAGAAAATAACTAATGCAGAGGATCAGGCACAGTCAGAAACTTGCATAAAGACATATATTAACACATAACCAACAAAATCTGGAAAACTTACTGCGGGAACAAAGACTGGCCCGAGCCTCCCCTGTGGTTACTGCAAGGCTGTGATAGCGAGGTGCTGGCTCTGCCAGGTAAAGCCACGGGCTCAGGGCTGTGCCCAAGGCTGGTGAACAGGGAGCACTGAGCACCTGTAAATCACTAACAAAACAAAACATCACCGATCTGGGCTCCAGACACAGTCTCAGAGCTCAGTGTGCTCCCACTGAAGGCCAAGGTAATTTAATATTTGGGAGGCAAGGCAGCTGCTCCAGCCGTGAGCACCATGTGCAATTCCCAGCAGCTTCCAAAGGCGACAACCAGCACTCAGCTGGCACCTGCCCCACGCCTGCAGATCCTGCAGGCCCTGCTGCTCTTGGCAGGGAGGTGTGTGTGCATGTGTGCTCTGCATAGGTGCATGCACAAACCCAGCTATGATATGGGAAAGGAGCAGGGAAAGGACAAGTTATTGGCTCTGCTGGGAGCTGGTGAGTGTGACACCAGTGCCAATAAACGGGGAGGGAACACAAGAGTACAAGGGGGTCTGAGGCTCCGTGTGCAGGGCATGAGCAGGAGGTTCATGGGGATGGTGGGGAGGCTTGAGTCAAGTGAACTCGCTGCTAATCCTCTTGCACACAGCCTTCCTTGCAGGAGGAGATCTCATGACTCCAGGGAGAAGTACATTGTGTAACTAAGCAATGGTGAACCCAAGCTCCATTTAACAAGGCTTGGCACAGGTGCAACCGAGTAGGATACTCACCCCAAGAGAGTGTGAGAGAGAGCATCTCAGTGCATCACCCTCTGGCTTAGAGTCCTTAAAAGCCCTGTGTGGCTTTGGGAGAAGAGCTCAAGTAGAGGGAAAAAAAAAGAAAAAAAAAAAGAAAAGAAAAGAAAAAGAAAAAAGCCCATAACCCCCAAGAAAACAGCTCCCTGCACTGGGTATTCCTGTACTTGTGTGGAAATGTTGCATAATGTCCCTTTGCACCACATAGAGCTTTGAAATCTACAGGATCAAAGCTGTATGGAGACACTACGGATGTGCCAAGACAAATTTAAAGGCATTTCACAATTACAGCAAGAAGCACCAAGCCACACTCCAGGCTCTTCTTGTTGTTCCACTGTGACATCTAGTGGCAGTGGCACTGGAGAACACAACAGGAATGGTGTTTCTGGTTTTAGGCCTGTCCCTGCACTCACCTCTTGAGTAGCTTTTCCCCATCCATCTGAGAGTTGTCTTGTATTATTTTGGAAAAAACTCTTTTGCCACTAATCCTACTGGATTTTTACAGATGTAAAAAATTGGGTTTTAAAGCTTTCACAGTGCACAAGAGGGCACCCTGCTTCCTAGAATGTATCACTAGGTCTCCACTTGTGTGTGCCTTGTCTTTGTATTATGGCTTTATGGCACAAACACTGAAAAAAGACAAAAGAGATCGTGGGTTAAAGAGTGGTCATTCAAGATGCCTTTACTGAAAAAGCAAATGAGTTAAAATGCAAATATTCAGGTCACAGCACTGTCCAGTTGAGGGCTGGTCTTCCAGGTCTCTAAGGTTTGAATTTGCACTTGTCATCAGGTAAATCTTGTTTGCAAACCATTCTCCAAATCCAGTTGTTTTTCATACAGTTTGTTGAGTCTTTTCGTAGCTGCTGGGCAAAACTTTTGTTCAATCTCTTGCATGGGATCAAAAGCATGTGATCTGGTGTGAAACACTTGCCACTGAGTCACCTTTGTGTGTGTAACCTTTGCCACAGTAGTTAAAAATGTCACCGCTTGCTTCTCCCTCCTGCTTTCATGAGGGTAGTTTGCCGGGCTGCACCTCTCTTACAGAAACATTTGGCCTGTGGGCCTCTGCCTTCTCTGACTGATTAAAAGGAAGATGAGTGTTTGTGCTTTGAATCATCATTTATATGGAGAGATATTCAGGAACTGTTTGGATGGTAATGCTGCAGGCATTGTCTTCACCTAATGGCCATAACTACCAGAGAAGGAACAGCAGAGCAAAGCAACAGCAACCCAAGCCCTAAATTAAATGGTAGGTTAAAATAATGTCACTAATAAGAAAAGTAAGCAATAAAAGAGAGGCAATGAAAAAAAAAATTCTCAGTGAAAATTGCTCCTGTGGCAGACACTGATGCCAAAACAGAAAGCCTGGAGTTAAATGAGCTCCTCAACACATGCCACAGTGATTTAATTACGAGTGTGAGCAACACACTGGAGAGGGAAGGGCTGGGAACTGGGGGTGCCAGGGCTGGAGGTGTATGGGGAAAGCTGTGGATTTGAACCCATCCTTGTGGTCCTTTCCCAGCCCATGGCAGCCTCACAGCTCAAAGGCAGGAGCCAGGCTGCTGGCTAAAAAACACCCCAAAAAGGGCAAGGCCACTGTGATAGATAATGGGTTGGACTCAAAAGACCTTGGAGGTCTTTCTCAACGTAAATAATTCTATAAGGTGCTTTTGCCAGCAGGCAGTTTTTACCTGCAGCTTTTCCCCTCTTCCCAGGAGCTCTCTCTCCTCAAGCCCCCACACAGGGCTCCGGATGTCAGGTGAGGGTGGGATGAACCCATCAGAGGAAACACTCCAGTCTTGGATTTTCACCCTGTCCAGGCCCCCATCTCAGTGCCCGAGGCAGGGGGGCCCACACAATCACAGAATCATTGGGGTCGGAAAGGACCTCTGGAGATCATCCAGTCCATCCCCCGCTACGGCAGGTCCATCTGGAGGAGGTGACACAGGAATGTGTCCAGGTGGGTTTGGAATGTCTCCAGAGAAGACTACACAGCCTCCCTGGGCAGCTGTTCCAGGGCTCTATCACACTTAATGTAAAGGAGTTCTTCCTAGTGTTGAGGTGGAACATTTTGTGTTTTAGTTTATGGTCATTGCCCCTCGTCCTGTCGCTGGACACTAATGAAAAGAGTCTGACAGCATCCTCTGACACTCCTTGGATATATTTAAATGCATTGATGAGATCCCCTCTCAGTCTTCTCCAGACCAAATATAACCAGCTCTCGCAATGTCTGCGCATCAGAGAGATGCTCCAGACCCCTCATCATCTTCGTGGCCTTCGCTGGACCCTCTCCAGTAGCTCCTTGTTTTTCCTGCGCTGAGGAGCCCAGAACCGGACACAGAACTCCAGAACAAGGCCGTTCCCTGCCCGGGGCAGAGCCAGTGCCCGCCGCCCGCCCCGGTCTCAAGATGGCGGCGTCCGTGAGGGCCTGAACGGGGCCCGGGGGCGGGAAGGGCCCAGCTCCGCCGCGCTGAGCCGCCCGGCCCCTCCCGACGGGCTCCAGAGCGGGGAGGAGGGGCCGCAGCCGGACCCGGCCATGAGCGGAGCCGCGGAGGCGCGGGAGCTGGAAGAGCGGCTGCGAGAGGCGGCGGCCCTGGGGGACGTGGCGGAGGTGCGGCGGCTGCTGGGTGCGGGGGCGGACATCGACGCCCGCAACGAGATCAATGGCTGGTGAGGGGCGGCGGCGTCGCGCGGGGTCCCGGCGCTGCGGGGGACGAGGGGCGGGCCCGGGTCGCTGCGGGGCCCAGCTCTTCCCCCGCTGCCCTTCCCAGGTGTTCGGGGTTCTTGGGCTCGGGGCTCACCCCAACCCATCATCAGGAGGCGGTGAGGGAGGTGTTCTGGGAACGCAGCTCTTGCGTTCCTTAGTTTTCCCATTTGCAAATACAGAAAAGCTAATCTCGGGAGGCTCGGAGATTTACTGCTAAAGAGGATCACGATAAAAGCAGGTCACCCGCCTTTCACCTGTCACGGCGTGTTTGCTTAAGGTCCCTGTCCAGTCGCTTGTATGGGATAGTAGTGGGAGTCACTGTGCAAGGCAAAGGAGGGCCGTGCCCTGCATAACTTACACATTCAGAACTTTAGGAAGTGCCACAATGAAGGCAACTTTATTGCCAGTTACCACTTTATGCATAACTCGGACGAGCTAGGACGGTGTTGGTGAGGAAGAGCCAGGCCGATGAATCCCAACCCTTGTGCTTCCTTCCTGCAGGACCTGCCTGCACTGGGCCTGTAAGCGGAACCATGCTCAGGTGGTGTCCTGCCTGCTGGAGGCTGGTGCGGACAAGCGGATCCTCACTGCTAAGGGAGAGCTGGCGGCACAGCTAACGTCGAAACCAGATATCCGCAAGATTTTGGGAGGTACCGTTCCCATTTTAAGTGTCATCTTGAATTCTTGGTCTAAACACTGAAACGTTGTTAGGGCTTTTATCTGAAGCAGTAATTGACAAAGCCTTGCTAGGACAATTGTATCTCATTAGATAGCTCTGATTTATAACTGGAATTCATATTTGGGCAAATAGACGTGGAGATTTCAGGTAGGAAGGCCTTGTGTTCTGAGCTGTGTCACCAAGAAGTGGAAAAGCTGTATGCTTTGGGAAGTTGTTGCTGCACTCCTGTTTGCTGTCATTAAACAAAAGCTGGCATGCAAGCTGCAAATGGGGGCTTTCACAATTGTACAATTTGCTGCAGTCTGACCATGATCAATACTACAAATCCCCTCAAAACAGTTTTATCACTCAGGAAGTTATGCCTTCTGAGCACCTTGTTATATATAGTGTGACTTGCTGGTATGGTTAATTTTTGCCCTGTAATTATGCCATCTTACACTTTTCATATGCACAGCAAACCCAGTTAGATGTGTGTGGCACTTTTGAACAGCATCTAGGTACTGTGCTCCAGATTAAAATTCTAAGGTGCTTTACCTATGGAAATGTGCTGTCATCTGCAGTTGAGCTTAAATTGCTCTCTGCAGTGATCTGCTCTTACACCAACAGGGCAGGGTTATCCTTCACAAGGTTGCAGCTAAATCGTGACTCAGGTTCCAACAGTTAAGCCTGAAGGAATGGCGTGTTCTTACACAATGCTTTTGCTTTCTTTTGGGTGAGGTTTGTGGCAAACGACTCACCTGTTTTTAACATCTAAACTGTCAAGCACATGTAGATGAACTCTGTTCATAGTCATCTTATTTTTCTGTCTGTTAAGCTTTCTGTGTTTTCTGGAGAGTAAACACATATCACTTACCTTCTCTCTTAGTTTTTATTCTGGGAGTGTGGTATCATTGAGCAGATCTTTCTGAACTGCTTTGACATCAGTATTTATGTTCTGTAATCCTCAGGGAGGAACGTCACTTACTGCAGTGCTTTTATGCAAGAGTTGAGTTTGTTTGGGTATTACAGCAAGTAGACACTTCCTTGAAGAAATAATGGGTTAAATTTGCTGGCCTAGGTCATAATAACTATTTACAGCAGCGCTATTAAGAGCATTTTAAAATTAGGTTCAATAAAGGACTACTGGTCATCCAGTTCATTTGAAAGCGCTGGAACAACACTACTAGAAATGGTGTCTCTTTCAAAGGTTATTTCCCCTCCACACTTTGTTATCAAAAAACAGAATATACTGAAGACATAGGTTTTTCTTTCACTTTACAGCTACTGGCCTCCAAGTGTTACATGCTTCTGGAACATTAGCGTCAATCTTTGATGACCTTGGAATGTGATGTAGTTTCAAGACACAATAGGAAAACTAACTGTATTCAAAATGAGAAAGATCTATCCAGTAACATGATGGATTTTTTTCTGTCTCCATCCCCTACCCCTCCTTTTTGAACTTCATCAGTAGAGGAACAAACTGAATGTCAAGGAGTGAAGGATTTAAATTTATCCATTGTTGCGAACTACTTGGCCAACCCATTCCCTAACATTTACACCGAAGAAAGCATTCAAGGCAGCTTGGCAGAATCCCAGAGTGAAAGTGCTTCCATCTCTTCTGCTTCCCAGAGTGAAACTAGCCATTGTCCATCAGCAGCTCAGGCTGAAAGCATCTGCATACCCACGTCATGCAGCAGCGGCGAGACTTTCCCAGCAGCGGACGCAGCAGCCAGGCCGCCCCCTATGCCCACCGTCACTGCAGCCACAGCGGGTACCAGCCCAGGGATGCCCCATGGCTCCGGCTGCCCCCCGCTCACAACCCCCAGCCTGGGACTCTGCTCCCCAGGAGTGTCTGGCCAGGCCTTGCCTCTGCAGCCTCACACCTGCCCCAGCAGCCCTGCACCCGCCTTCCAGCCCTTCTTCTTCACTGGAACATTCCCGTATAACATGCAAGGTAAAGAGGTGCTGTGTCTCCTAGTTCTGTTACAGTTACTGGGTGAAAAATGAAGTTAAGTAATCATTTCACTTCAGACTCTAGTAGAATAGAGGCAGAGATGTTGAATTCTGTGGCCAAAAGTGCCCTGAACTTTCTTCTGCTCAGTTACATAAAATGTCTGTTATACTGTATTTTAACCGTGATAATACTTTGCAAAACAATGGAAAGATCAGTCCATGTAACACGAACATTTAAATTTTGCACTACATTTGCATTAAATGCAGCTCCGTTTGTTTGGTAATAACTCAGCTTTGTGACTCAATGGATCAGTTTAAACAGTGTTAACATGGTTCTCCTGTGTATTTTTGCTGGAAGCTTCTGTTAACTGCTCAGTATTTCCCAGATCATGGGGACTGTATTAAAAAACCTGAATTCAGAAGATAATGGTAAATACTGTAAATGTTAGGTTTGAGTTTGTTGTCTTTTCTGTTGTTAACCTTTTAATTGTTTCACTGTCAGAACTTGTACTCAAGGTCAGAGTCCAAAACCTGAGAGACAATGACTTCATTGAGATTGAACTGGACAGACAAGAATTGACCTATCAAGATCTGCTCAGAGTGAGCTGCTGTGAACTGGGTGTTAATCCAGAGCAAGTAGAGAAGATCAGAAAACTACCCAATACACTTCTAAGAAACGTAAGAATAGAAACGAGAGATTAACTTGACTTTTCACTTTGCAGACATCAGAGAATGTATTTTTGTAAAAAGACTGGCAAAATGTGAGCTTTGTTAAATAAAAACTGACAGATTCAAAGGGACGGTGGACCTTTCTTAAGACTTCATCATAACTCGTTTAAAAATAGTCTTGTCAAAATAGGCAGAGTATTTTAGCTCCTAAAGCATATGGAACTATTACAGCTTGACTTTTAAAAAATGTATCAGAAACAGTGCATTTAGGGTGCTTTTAACGTAATTGCCAAGTATTACTTCACTGTCTGCTTGCCTAAAAAGAAGGAACAGTAAGGGGAAAAACCTCCACAAATTGGCATATGAACAACTTAAAATACGCTGTTAACAAATGAAACTGCTCTTCTGTTCCGAAAGTGTATATTCCAGAGGTCTGTAGACAAAAGTGGTCCCAAGTCTTGGTGAAGTGACATGAAAAATACAGCCAAATCATAACGAGATTAAAGGAGAAGAAAAAGTTGGAGGAGAAAAACCAAACAAGAAAACCCGCTACAACTTTTAATGAGTATATGCTGGTTGGATTTATTTTTCTAATTCTTTATTGCTATTATTGGGAATGATGTCCCTGGAATTCTAGTTTTTACTTCCTGTAGTTATTTTATAAATAATAACCACCAGCTATGTGTAGGAGTAATAATGTGTGGAGATTCTCAGTTCAGCTGAAGAAAGAATAGAGATCATTTCTCCCAGGCTGAGCCTGGGAATCTTAGAAGAAATAATTAAAACAATTATCTCTCTTTCTGTAACCATGGTTTAGTTACGGTTTTCCACAGTGTGCTATTCATAGCACACCAACAGTGTGAGATGTTTCTACTTTGAAACCAATCAAGTATCATCTTAGCAAGTGTCATTATAAAAAGACCCACTACTTTCATTAAAGTTAGCGTTCTAATCCACCTGAAGACGGGAGTTTTTTTTCCATCCCTGACTCAACAGCATCGATAATGTTGTTCTGTCTGTTCCTTACAAGGACAAGGATGTTGCCAGACTCCAGGACTTCCAAGAGCTGGAGCTGGTCCTTATGAGAAGTGACAGCTCTCCTTTCCGGAACGCTTCGGCTGCACTGATGGAGCGGCCGTGCTACAACAGCAGAGCATCCAAGCTGACCTACTGACCCCGGGAGCTGCATCTGCAACGTGAACACCTGGCAGTGACATGTGTCACTTAAGTGTGTGTAAAACCTTAAGTTATTATTAGGGTTACTATTTTAACTAATATTTTATATTTAATATCCTGTTTGCTTTTATTTTTTTACTTGATACTGTATTCAGGCAAGGGATACCTCATTTGTCCAGTAAAAACCACAGGTTTCCAGTGTATTTCAAGGAAATGTATTGGTTGTATCTGGCAGTGGGGGGCACAAAAGACATAATTATTGATACAAAAATTTTGTTAAGTACACCCACTCTGACCAAGTAAGACTCATGGAAAGATTCAGGAAATTGTGTGTCTCTGCACATACTTCCTCATTAAATTAAAGAGACACACAATGGATAGTTGCTCTCTAAAAATGTGAATGTGCAAGTCCTTAATCTCTTGCCCCTCACACTCACCAAGATGGGTTGTCTAGAAATACTTAATGCTCAGAAGTGGCCGGAGAAACCCTTTTACTGGGCTGAAAATAACTGGAATAAGCGTGTCCATATTTAAATGTTTATTTCCCCTATGAGAATATTGTACCTCCACCAAAAAATACAAAAGCCTCTCCTAAGTTTTCCTTTTGATTTGGAAGTGCCCTTTCAAGAGAAAGCCCTTGTTTCATATGGGGAAGCACACCCAATCTGTGTCCAAGGTTTTATTTACTTTCTGACCGATGTGAGCCTGTGATTTACTCACACCAGGTGTCAGTATTGTCAAGATGGGAAAGCTCTCTGTGGCCCTTCCCTGTACACCAGTTCCAAAGGCATGGTTGTTTCTGCTGTATGAGAAGCACAGCTGTGTCCTCATGAGAGAACACAGCTGGAAGGAACATAGAATGCTTTAACGGGCCACTAGATGCGAAAAACATGAGCAAGTCACTGATTTGTAACTTTACATCCTGCACAGTCTGCTGTCACTGTTACATAGCCTTGTTTCAGCCAGGTGAGTACTGAAAGGGATGAACTGCAAAAAACCTCCAGGTTGAACGCAACCTCCAGGTTGCTTTCAACTTCCTCCCCCTCCCCGCCCCTTCTTCATGGGGAGTGAAAAAAACACAACTCTGGTTAAGCTACAGACTATTTAAGCAATTCAGTAATGAAAAAAATTCACCTGTGGGTTAAAATACTTCAGTCACAGCATTGCTGGAGTATAAACAGCCTGAAGCTTGTCTTGATTAACATGACAGCCTGTAAAGTTACACTTCTGGAGGCTGTTTTCTTTTTTACCAAAAAATATGATGCTGACCTGTGCACCAAAACCCTTCAATGGGTCCTGAGGCAGGTGGACAGGTGAGGGATTTGCTTTTTCTGCATGAGCTGCTTTTTCTCCCCTCTGTTCCCCCCTCCCCCCCCAATCCCAAACTATTGATTTTCCTTCCATCTCTGCTTTGTGAAGCTGCACTAGGCAGAGTTTCTGCACAGCTGACGGACGCTGGACTTTGTTGGTTGATCTGGACTGCAATGTTGACAGTCAAACTATAACTAGTACAGCACCATGTTCTAGGAGAAGCAGCATGGCTGCCACCCTCCTTGTGTCCTGCTTTAGCCTGGACAGACTCCCTCAAGCTGCTGCACACCAAGAGAAGACAGAAACCTCTTCTGTCAGCAGAGAAGATACTTGACTCTGGGCTCAGGATTTCACCAAGTTATTTAGGCTTAAAATTCTTGCTTACTTCAGTCAAAATAATGATCATCCTTTCCTCCATGTTCCATACCCATCACCTCAACCCTGCTAACTTCCCATTCTCAATCCTGGTTTTTCTCTAGCCAGAAGCTATTTTAATGCCAGATTCAACTGATGGGAAGTTCAAGACTGTGATACAGTATAAACAAAAACTTCTTAACTAAGGTTCATGCTTTGTTTTTCTTGCAAGACAGGAAAGAAAGTTCTATTTCAACAATTGTGCATTTACCTCTCCAGCATAGCTTGGAGCCTAGCTCAGATTATGTGCAATAACTGTGTGAAAATCAGTAGTGGTTAAATGGTTCAAAATTAGTAAGAGTATCTAATTTGTTTCCAGTTCCTTTATTTAGGAAGTCAGTGTAAGGACTGTCTCCACTAATTACTGAGCATTCTGCTAGAGGGCAGCTGGTTTAAAAAGATTTATTTCCCTAGTTTCTACCAAGAATAACAGTTAACGTGTTAAGATTTAAACTCTACTTATAATTTGACTGTAATAACAGTATATTTATGCATTCAGAGGAGTATTTTTGTATGTTTTATGCAGTTTGATAAACTCTAAGGCACACTGGTTATGTTAACTGGTTTTTGTCGGGCTTTTTCTTTGAACAATGAACTGGTGGAATGACAACTGAGATAAAGTTTACAAAACTTACTGTTCTTCCAAGGACACCTTTTGTTTGCACTACAAACTTGTGCTGAACTGACACTGCTACTCTTCACTTATAATAAAGTATCAGTCATTTCAAGTACTTTGATCTTTTTCCTTTATCAGGGGTAGAAGGATGTGGAGAATCAATCTAGAGTGGACAGGACATGTAAAATTTTAATGAAACTTTGAAAAATCATAGGCCAGTACACTTTTAACACTTAATAAAGACCGTCAGGCTGTCAAAATCAGTATGGAGAAAGCATGTCAGAGGTGATTACTGAAATCAGCTACTTTTGCCTAGAATTCCTAGAAAATCTGGAATGGTATTTATCCTGGGCTTAAGCTCTGAAGATACTTCTCACAAAGATGAATCTGTGGAGATGTTTGTACAGTCAAATCTGGAGGCAGAAAGGCACTGTGTTTCCTATCCTCTGCAAAACAGAATTTTTCTTCATCTTCAAAGCATTAAAGACTCCCCTATGAGACATGTCAGAATCTGAATCCCAGGCTAATCTACTACAAGGTTCCTCATTTTATCATTTTTTATTTTGCAAAGCAAGGGGAAATGCAAATCCTGTAACAAGTGCGTGCAGTGGAAAGTACAAGACAAACGTTTTCACTGCTGAAAGAAGTAACACATCCAGGAAGAGGCTGAGTCCTGTCTCACAAGTTTCAAAAGGAGGAGGTGTTCATCTAATGTCTCCAATTAGAATTTAGTTATAATTTCACTTGTGCCCACTTTATTTTTTCCCAAAACCACCACACCCAGTCTCCATCCCCTGTGCCCCAGTGTCTGGTTTAGAACAATAAAAGTCAAAAAAGGAACATGGCTGTCTGCATGTGGTATCAAAACCTAGCACTACTGACCAGAGGGACCAAGATGCAGATTCCTCCCAAGTGCACTTCCACACACAGGCCAAATAAATCAGCACAAGTTACAATGGTGTTCTGTCCATGTCTGACTTTGGTTACATATACAGTCAAGGCCTGAATACTAATGGAAAAGATAATGTTCTTTTTAAAGAATGTAAATGCATTGCCTTACAGCCACAGCACTGACTAGTACACGCTGCAGTTCTTCTCCAACCAACACCACTCCTGCTTGCACTACAGCTTCACAGAGAAGCAGGAGGCACATCTCCCTGCCTGTGTGTCTGTGCTGACCAACTGCACAGGGTTGTTAATCAATACCCCAAACCAATACTGCAATGCAAATATGAAGCAGTCTGAACACTCAGTCTCACCACTGGCATCGTTCTAAACATGCTGTCAAAGCTGAACTGTTTTATAAAGAATTAATACTGCCATTTTTATGGCAAGATTTCTGTAATTTCTTAACCTACTGCAGCAAAAGGCACTTTTTTGGGGAGATGCTGAACCCAACAGCATCTAACCGCTGCAAAAGTAAGCCTGAAATTAAATCCTGATGGCACAAAAAAACCCCAAACGCACAAACAGCACAGAATAACTAAGCATCCAAATTAATGAACTAAGCTTGAAGACATGAGAAATTTATTAGGAAAGAAGCTTATTTAATATTAAATGTTCAATGACAGAGACAATCAAATTTGTAACAGAAATTCAAAGATACTTTATTTCCATTTCTCATATATCAAGAAGCTAGGAATTGCTTAGTTGTAAAAATGGGATTCATTTTAGTTCAATTCACACAAATACTAAACATTTATTCTTGTGTTTTAAAGTCCAAGAATGAAAACTTGCAATTAAACACTGAGCAAGCCATGTGTTCAGGTTATGTTGGTTTCTTATCTTAAAAAGTCTTAAAGAAAAAGAAGGATACAGGACTTATATTCTCAGTAGCATATGTGCTATTATCAACACATCTTTTTGAACTCTGGGAGGAAACACCAGTCCTGAATTAAATTTTATAAAAAAAAACCTAACTCAACTTTATATTTTTCTATGCCACTACAGCTTTCTTTCACCTCATTTAAAGCAGATCTTCAGTTTAAGCTCTCTTCCGCTGTCTTCGCAGACTCTTCACGTAGTAGTCCTATAATGCAAAATTTTGGGAGAACAGACGATTAGACAGCATTAGGAGCATTTTGTTTACCATTCCTATACACTCACCCAGTTGTTAGCTGTCATCTTAACTCTACAAAAACATCACCATTGGACATGACTGGCATTAGAAGCAATGATGTAGCATTAATGGTTTAATATCAACATTAAATGTTTAAGAGTTCCTAGCATACATAATGCAACTACAGTAACAAATTATATTGCAAGAAGCTCATTTATCAGCTGTCACCTCCACTGTTAGTTCCTTATTTCAGGAATACAACTAAAAACCTTCTGTAAGAAAGCTATGTCAAGAGTGGGGAAAAAATTTCAAGTTGTCCTTACAATACATAATTGCCTATTGCTTAGCTGCTTAATTTCCCACAAATAGTTTCCAGCATACATTCCTGCCATCAACACTGCCATCATTTGGTGGCATCTGTCTCTGCATTACATCTGCCTTACAAGCCTGTTACCAGCCATTCCACTCTTCTGTGCTATGGCTGACTGCAAAGTCTCCTACACAGTAGGAAATATTAAGCACATACCTCTTAAAGACTTGAATTGCATTGAAAGTAACAAGGCGAATATTATGTAGTGTTTATTGCATTTTAAACTCTTTAAAGATATCTAATTCTGGGCAGCACTGCATCCCTACACACAGTTGAAAGAAAATTCCATTCTGTTAACATCAGATTTACAGTATTCACACAATACACAAAAATTCCTTTTCACTAGCTTCAAAATCAAAAACACAACAGTAAGCTTAAAGATTACAGGCAACAGCATTCAAACATGGATGTGGGTAGAGAAAGGAGTACCTGGCATGAGTACCTGCTTAGTTTGACTGAATCCTTGATTTTTAATTTGGCTTTTCATGGGCCGCTCACAACACCAACGCTGTGTGAGGTATGGTAGTCAGCTGCAATAATTCATAAACCCTACACTTCCATCAATCCAATGCTACTGGCTCTCGAGTTACAGAACAAACTGCATTAGAATGCAAGGCAATAAAGCAAAAAAACTAGAAACATCCTTGACAAAGAAATACTAGCAGTTTATATGAAAACAAAGTAGTCCAACATGTGCCTCAAATATTAAGTATTTAAGCAAAAGTTTCTGCTGATGTACCAACACAATATGGACTTAAATACAAAACCAGTTCAACTTTTTTTAAAAAAAAAACGATAACAAAATCCCTAAAAATAAAAAAGGATAATTAATTTTTCTATGGTGACTATATTACAAATATGTCCCAAAGAGGCACACTAATGGGGGCACGAGTCTGCTACAAAATAGCTGAGACAAAACAATGTACCTCAAAACGTTTTGCAGGACTACACTGTCATTTCCTTCAGAAGGTGCTTTAGTTTGTCTTCTTACTTGACTTACTTCCATCTTCATCTGTGCATACTTACGCTGCACTGTTAAACAGTAACAAAAAGCCCTAATCAAAGTTTGAAATAATGCACTTACCTCTGTCTGATCTGAGGTCATATCAGATCAGTTTTAATTGGACTGAGTGTCACCTTCAGATTTAATGTCTTCATTGGTCCCATTGACCTCATTCTTAGTCTCACTCTCCTTCGAGTCTGTATTTGTGTCTTCACTCTGTTTTTCTCGACTACTGGACTTCATACTACTTTTTTTATCATCAGATCCCCTCTTTTCTGCCATGAAAGAAGACATTGACCATGGATTTCAAAGTAAAAACAAACATTGCACATGTGAGATATATACTGCATACAACATGGGACAATTACTTTCCATAGCAATAACAGTAATACTCAATAAGTTACAGAAATAGGCTTCAGACTACCATGCTGGAATGGAGAGGGGACAAAGTAAAGGTAGAAGGGGACAGTACAGGGTGGGGGAGGAGGAGAAAGGTCAGACCTCCTAACAGAGGCAGCAACTCAGCTCTGTCAAAATGAACAAATTGGGGGTAAAGAGGTTAGGCAGATGTGTAATTATGGTGCATGGCTTCCTTACTTATTATGGGACTCTTCTGGTCCTCAAGTTTTGATTACTGATTGTGTATGGCTTGCTTTGGTTTATAATTCTTGTTAATTATGGTTCTTCAAAGAGAACCAGAAAAGAGTGGTGGACAGTGCTTGACTGCATAATCAAAGAAATTGATACTTGCCAATTAAAAACTAGCAATCTCAAACTATCAAATACTTTGGGAAACAATATTAAGCACTGACAGCTTTCAAGGTGGAGATCAGCGACAACCAAAATTAAATTTGAAGCTGCACATTTGTCAGTGTTGTTAATTCTCAATTTTGTAAAAATAGCAGTCATTTATACACAAGTCATTAAAGGGGCTTGGGGAGACAGCTTGGAAGATATATAAAAAGCAATTTTTTTTCAAAGGCAAAGTAACAGCAAGATGTGGGGGAAGGAGCCCACAATTTGATCACGAATTGGGAAGCTTACTGAAGCATTTGCTACACTAAAATCTCAATCTTCAAAGAAGGAAGGAAGCCAGAAGTAAAAATATTTCCATGGGAAGAAAAAAATTCAGTATTAGAGCTGCGTGCCTCATCTGTAAATTCAGTATTTGCAAATTTAATAAAAATACCAATTCCTGCTGTGTTATTTCACACCGTAATACTCAACTCTTGCTCAGTAAAGACACTCTGAAGAGAAAAAAAAAATAATCCAAAAAACCAACCTCTCAGATGTCATCATACAGAACAACATTCATGCTCTTTTTTCTGATTATTCCCTGCTATCTGGGCAATCAAAATAAATAATATAAATAGATAGATATATCCCTGACACAGGAGCACACAGATCGAACACTCTGAAAAAACTATTTTAAAAAACATTATCACCTAGACTGGCAAAACACACTTTTATATTCCAGGACACAAAGCAAAATATTAAGCTTTAAAAGAGCAGCAACATCCCAACTTCTTTGTTTTATAATAGACTACCAAAGGATAGGGTAAAGCCCTCACAGAGAAATGAGGGCAACTGCCTAATGACCACCAGTAGTGAAGATTCACCTGCAGCAGCACATCCAGTGCAGGGTGCTTGGAGAAAGCACACGGCAACATCACCCAGCTCACTGAAGGACTAAGTCAGTTTGGGTCTGTCTGCCCTCAATTTGGCAACTCCGCAGGTAGATTGCACTCTAACTAACCTTGTTAAAAAGTCTTCTTTTTGTGTCTTAAAGGTATCTCCGGTGCACACGTGGATCCATTGAGGAATAGTAGTCTTGTTTCCCCGCAGAGGACTAGTAGTCAGTCCAATAATCTTATCTTCTGTCCTATGTAGATATGGTAGATCTTAATAGCCCTATGGATGTGCAGTGTGCAGGGTTTTGTTCTGTCTTGTTTGTGTCTTGAATGTGGTCAGGAAGGATGATTTTGTTTAAGGTTAAAAAAAAAACTAATAAACTGTGGTACGAAAGATCAAACTCTTCTAAAAATTTTAGTATTAAAATAGGTATACTATACCAAACCTCCAGTTTGCCAAGCAGAACTGAAAAAGTGTATTCAACAAACAGCCCAATAATTTTTCAACCCCTAAAGAATCTGCAAGAAGTTAAGTTCCTCCACTGTATTTTTAATCAGTAAGAGAAAAGGCACATAAAATTAGTCTGCTGTTGGAACTGGGTGTGTTATTTCAGCTGTGATCTATTAGGTATAATCACATAATATTGACTTTGCTTCCTGGTTAAACACATGCACATTTTTCTGACTGACTTCGCGTGGGCAACTGAGATGCATTTTGTAAGAATTCTTATCATGACAAAGTGAATCGCTTTACTGTTCAGAAAATCAAACATAATATCCAGTATTACTGCTGTGTTCTAGCAGTATTTGCTGATATTTAATCACTAACATTAAAACATGATCATAATTATTTTTATATAGGTATCAGAATCCAGATTAGGGAAGACAGAAAGCCAAGCCAAAGTGGTCTAGAGGCCCATTCCAGTATTAACCCTTCATAAAATGAAGGTACTTGGAAAATAATTTTTGTTTTATTAAACCCCCCTATTTATTCCATTTGCTCTGAAGTTTGTTAACTTGAACAGTAGGTGCACTCTACTGGTTTATATTAAGCTAATGCTCAGCTGCTGTTTATGGCTGGTGGCTCCTTTCTTTAGCAAAGGTATCTTTGCACCGAAATCTCTGTCACAAAGCAAGTGCCCCCATTTTTACACATACTTTTTTTTCTTATAACCTTGGTTGCCATCTTCTACAGTATCTTATTGAACAGGAAACCAGGACTTCTGCATTTTCAAAGTGCGGGACTAATTTAATGTGCAATGGTACACAAGTCTTGGTAAACTGCTCCTTGGGGTTTTTTGGTGTTAATATTCATGTTTATAAAGCAATCTGAGATACCCAGATGAAAGGCACTACCATGAGCAGTTACAGCCTTTACTGCCTACTTTTACAACTGCAGATCAGTGGTGGCTATAAAGACAAGTAGATTCTGAAGACAAGATTCCCAATGTAGTAAGTTAAATCTTAACTTTGAAGTTACTATTGTGTAAAAGCCACACACTTCAAATATATGAATCTCTAAAAGCTTTATTCCTATAAACCTATCTACAGTGCCACATTGCAAATATGACAATGCAATGGTGCTTACAGCTTCAGTACAGAAATTCAGTGCTGCCTTAGTAACTACTACTGGGTTTGGTTTTTTCCTTCCTTCCCTCCTCTTTTATATTTTTTTCTGTTAAAAGATTTTCCCAACAAAAGGAAAAAAACCACAAACTTCTTCAGCATTACAGTCCTGCTCTAAGGCTTATTTGTGCTTTTACAAACGGTAGGATGGCACAGTCAAAAAAAGCAATTGATTTTCCCAGGTGGGTTTTTCATCATAGCACCACCTCACTGTTGCCATTTCTGGTGGAAGAAAAGTAGCAAGCAGAAAATAAAACAGCCAGCAGGGAAATCAGTCAAGTTAAAACTAAAAATACTTGAGATGTTGAAGAGAGTTCACTAGCTCCTCTCTTTATGGGAAGATTAATGAAAGAACTGAAAAGCTCAAAACCAGACCAAATTTGAATAAATAAGAAAACAGTTATTTATATGCATATGTAACACACATTCAGTAGAACAGGACATTCTTCACCGAAATACCAGCAATCTGTTCATAAAGCAGGCAAAAAATCAGGTAGGAATAGTAACAAATGGACAAATATAGGCTACAACACTGAACCTGAGTTTAAAGCCTGCACATCATTTCCACTGCCAACAAGCAAGCAACAAAATCCACTCTCTTAACACAGCAAAGGAAAATGAGAGAAGAATCAATACTAAAGGTGCCCCACAGTATAAACCAGAATAATTGAAACAGTCCAAGGAAGTCAGGGAAGAGAAATACATGAAGCATTACCAACATTTTGGCAACCAATCCACTGGATAAATACAGAGAAGGGTCAAGCAGACAGGTCTATGCAACCCAGACACATGCACCGAGCACCTTTAATTCCAGAGAACCTCAAGAGTACCTTAGAAACACAATTGTTTCATCCATTACTGATGATCAGCCCATGAAGTGGGGTGGCTGTTTCGGACTGGCCATTAGTCAGCTCCCCACCAGAGCCAGAAGTATTACGTTCCTACAGAAGTTCCAAAAGACTTTTAAAGGGGGAAATTTAGCAGTAACAGTGAATTAGTATCTTCTCAGAGAATGTGAATCTAGTGTTCTCACTGTAGCTCTTTGTAATCCTACTTAAAAGTTTCTGAGCTTCAGCCTCTAGTGAAACAGTGAGCCACCATGAATGCTGCGGGTTCATGGCACGTACAGCTACAAAACTGTTCCAAAGACTAACACTTTCTGTTGAGACTCACCTGAATACTGACAAAGCAAAACTCACTTTGTTTAAATAACAAACAAAAAAAAACAAAAAAAGGAGAAAGGTGGGGGGGAAGAGCAGGAGACTGGGGAGAAGGCATAAATTGTCATTTAGAGCATCACAGAGATTCTGCAGTATATTTATCTTGAACTGCATTTATAGATTGGGAAAAAAAATTAAAAGCACTGTTAAAAGGATAATAAAGGAAACATGATAGTGTCGAGAAGTAACAGGTGGTACAGGTGAGAAGCAAGGTACCAACCTCCCCTAAAACATGTACCTGCAAAGGGTAATTGCAAATATACACTAAGAGTAGGAACAGAAGACATTCACTCTTAGAAAATGACAATTACAGGCTTACATTTTTCTAAAGGTAAATAGGTCTTAAAACATATAAAAATCCTTGCACGCTTATCTGCTGATAAAGTGCAATAGGTAAGAGGAGGACACTGGGGTGTAGGTATGCACACACATGTAGTGACAGTAAATGGAAAGAACAAAATTTTTGTCCAATTGCTTACAGCAACACACACACCTTTCAGAACGAGGTCTGATTTGGTACTAAGAACTTTCAGGCACTCACTGAAAAGCTAACAGCTTTTGAGACTCTAAGAAAAGATTTGTTTCAGAACTTGCTTAAGAACTCAGTCTTTATACAAACATACCTTTTTCTTTTGACTTCCTGTCTTGTTCTTTCTCTCTGCTTTTGCTTCTGTGCTTGTAGGATTTTCGATCCCGGCTTTTTGACCGTCTCCTGTCCCTACTACGAGACCTGTGTTTCCTTTCTGATCTATCATGACTTCTGCTTCTCCTCCGATCACGACTCCTTAACATTCAGAGAAAATTTCAAAAATGTAAATCTCAGCTGCTATTTTCTAGCTCAGAATATAAAACAGGAAAACAGTAGCACTTTTAGATACAGTGATTACCTGCAGAAACCAAATCTTAACATACTTTATAGAAATATTTCCCAGTACATAAGGAATATGCCCTCTTCATTTACTGAAACACTTAACTACATAGTTTCAAAGTATCTACCACCGTGAAAAAAAGACCAGCTGAAGGAAGAAACAGGAAACTGTACTTTTTGGGAGCATACTTTGTTTGCTGAAAGCTTCCTCATAAAGATGCTTCCACCACAGTGGTTTCATCTTCCAAAAATGGAGAGAAGACAGTGACACTCAGCAAAAACTTGCTTATCCTTAGAACCAGTAAGGTGTGTCTTCACTTAAGAAGAAAGACCTAAGTGAAGCTAACAAATCAGTGATGTGACTCAGGCTGACAGGTAAGTCCCTACAAGATTTTTACCTTTTGGAAATTTATCTGAAAATCCTTAAGAGACACACAGACACGCACAGAGGTACCTGCTTCGCCTTCTTTCTCTGCTTCTTGACCTTTTGTGGTCTCGTGAGCGGCTGCACCTCCTGTCAGATGTCCTGCTTGAATGCCTGCTCCGTGAGCGGCTCCTTTTACGTCTCTCTCTGTCACGAGCCCTCTCTTTTTCCTTTTCTTCCTCTTCGCGTCGTCTCTTCCTTTCCCGCTCTTCTCTTTCCCGCTCCCTCTCTTTCTCCCTCTCTTCCCGTTCCAGCTTCTCTTTTTTCAACCTTTCATCACGGTCAGGCTCTTCTGTTCTTTTTCGTAACTTTTCCTTAAAAAAGAAGTTCACGGGAAGAAATGAAGATTACTCAAGACACTTAAGCTTACAGATTGAGAGGATGCAAAAGCCTAAACTTTTAAAGTAGTTCAGTTTTATTTTCCAAACAAAGGACAGTGCTTCCTAAAATCCCTGAAATGAAAATCCTTTGTCTTGCAGAACCTTTTTTCGCTTGTCACTCTCAAGAGAACAGAGACCACACTACATTTCCTTAAAAACACCATAAAAATTCCCACCTGAATCAACATCTTTGTTTGTATCTAATGTCACAACAAATTACGTCAGTGAAAGCACAGTACAGGATTCCATTTCTTGGGAGTGTTTCACCCTCTTGAGAAAATCCACTGGACAGCCTTTTATGTACATTAGGAAACCTCCAAACATTTTTAATTTCAATAACTGGAGGAAATACTTACTTTTAAATCTTCTACAGTAGCTTTTATTTTGGCATAACCCATGTGCTGCTTTCCCATTAAGTGGTCATCTACCCTGGACTGTGCATCTCCTACAATTAAAAAGGCTCCACAAACTTCACAAACTTCCATTTGTTTTTCCTGGGCTGCAAAGCTCTCAATTGTCTGAAAAAGAAGAATATTTGAGATAAAAGAGAAGTTTTAGTCAGTTAAGAGGTTTATAACTCTATGTTACTGTTGTCAAACCCCAGGCTCTACTGAAAGCTGAAATTACATCTGCCTGCTTTATCTTTGGTGCACTGCACCCTATCATAGTAAGTAGGGAGAGAAGAGGCCACCCTATGCCCATTCCCACATGGAGGGAGTCCATGAAAAACCACAGAACTACTACTCACTGCATTAACACGTACACAGTCATATCTGCAGCTTCCTTGCAATACCAGAAAAATTAAAGTTCTAAGTTTTTCTTTTAAAGTTTTTTCTTTCAGTTTTAAGATGACTTTGGCATCAACTGAAATGTCAGGAGCTGCAGAACTACCATGGAATATACCTCAAGGAATCAAAAGGATAGAATACCCCATCAAGAAACAAAAAGAAATACTGGCTTCTATTTAAAAGTATGGTGGTCAAATTAAACCACTGTTTCAACAGACATATGAGAAATACAATGAAATTTCAACATAAACCCAGGTTCATGAATCATACAGTATGGACATAAACATGCCATGTGCAACACTGAAGAGCTCTTAAAAAAAAACAAGCAATCATGCCTATCAACATTTTTTACAAGCTTTTACTTCATTAAGTACACCCCAAAAAGTAAAAGCTAACGATAGTCCCACATATGTATCTTAAAAATTAACCACATTTCTAAAAATTTTAAGTATTTGTCACATCTTTAATATGCCTCATTCTCCCACAAATCAAACAATTGTTAAGAGAACACGTAAAACATTAAAACACATTCTTAACCAACAAAAGAATAAAAAATCACATCACAAAGTCATCAAACAAAGCTTTGTATGTTTTTAATTTCTTAAACAACTGTTACAAAACCCAACCCATTAATTTTAAGCATGTTTCAAATAACACACAAGCGAAACTAAAACAAAATCCCCCTATTTTAATAAAAAACCCTAAAAACAAATTAAAAGTCCTTTCCAATTAATCACTTAAAGCAAAAAGTATGCTTCTATCTCTACAACTACAAAAATTAAGTGAGTCTCAATGAAAAACATCAAACCATATCCACAACCACACCCAAGAACATGTTAACAAGACAAAGTTCAAATTAACCTCCTGAAAACTATTACAGCTTTTAAATAATTTCTGCTATGACAGCATTTCTACTAGAATTATCAGGTTTTTTAATAAAAACAGTATCTCTTAATTATAAACAAAACCAACAACAAAATTTCAAGACTTTCAATCCTTCCAGCTGTTGTTTCAATAAATTGTAACGAAGAGCTCTTAAATGCTGCACACAGCAACAAAAGCTCTTAAAATATGGTACAGACATAAATGAATTTAAGAATTCTAACTGAATTCTTAAAACAAGAATCTCAATTTGAGCATTTCATTAAACACCAAAATACAATCTTTAAACTTAAGCTCCTTTTTATTAACCCGAACTTGATACTTAACACACTCCCTCTGGCTTCTGTAGCTCCCAGGCACAGATGCCTGCCACAGCCCAGTCACAGCTCCAGTCCAGGACTGCTGGGTGAGTAATTTCATAATTTGTGCGCAGGAAGCCCACTCCCAAGATAGAATGCCTAATCAATACACTGGATTAACAGAGCCAAATGTCCTGTTACTATGTAATGAATTCTGCACAGACCGTGCATGCCTTCAGTGGACGGACAAGGTTATTTAGAATTTACTGAGCACCAAACTTTGATATGTCTCACAGAACTATGAACACATTACTTACTGAAGTCGTAGACCTCAGCAGTTCTCTCTCTTCCTTTAACTGTTCAACAAGTTTCATCATTCCTTGTGCTTCCTCCACCTTTCCTTCTGAACCTAGTTCTTCAATCTAAAAGGCAATGAAAACATTTCAAGTTTATTTTTTGATCAAGTAACAAAAGCAAGAGATCTCTTTTATGGGGGTTAAAAACCCCTCACCTGTTGAAGCAGTACATCAATTTTGTCAGTTAACACCTGAATCTTCTCCTCGTTTTTACCAGTAGGTCCTGCGCCCTGTAAAAAAATACAAGAGTGAGGTGGGGCTTTTTTTCTTTCCTTGGTTTTTTTTTTTTCTTCTTTTGTTAAAACAGCTTGAACACACAAATGTATGTCTTCTCATATTCCAGAGACACTTTGGGAATAACCTCCCCCTGGCCTCTTCTCCCACGAGAAGCTACTAATAATAGTCTAGTCTAATATAAAACACTCCTTGACACAACTTACTCCACCCTTGTTAAGTCCAGTCACACTAATTTCTCCCAAATCAACAAAAATGTTCAAGACCCCTGCCCACAAAAAGTAAGAAAACCATACTCAAAGTCCTAACTTTAAACTCTGACACTCTCATGCAACTACTACATATCTCTGCAGACATTCAAGTACAACTTAAGAGGTTCTGTAGGCTTTAAATTTCAAACTCTTGAGTGTAAAACGCAAAAAGAATCTCACTTCAAAGATGTATTTGTTAGCAGTGTCCTCTCTGCAGGCTGCCAGAACAGACTTCTTGCTGCCCTCCCACCTCTTCTCTACAAGTGGTATCTCTCAACTTGATATTGTCCACAGGTCCTTCTGAAGCAACTGGACTTTGTACAGTGAGGTGGGGCAGCAGAAAGAGCAAGGCTGTCCTGGCAGTTACAAAACTCAGAGAGCACAGGCCACAGACACCACTCCAAATCCATCACGGGAAAAGATACAGCTTGCTAGTGCAAGGAGGGAGGAATGTGCAACTAGTGGAGAGAATGTAAACTGAGGTTGTCAGGGTAAAGACAACACCTGACAGGTAGAGAACAGATTCGGCTCTTGGTGACTCTGGAGTCACTTGGCTCGTCCATTAATGCCAGATGCAATCTGCTGGCCAACAAACAAAAAATCTTATTCATCAGGAATTTTCTGGATAGTAATAAGTTTCACCTGAATAGATAAGATAGTGAAGATGGTATTTAGAGGAAAAGCTGCCTCAATGACTCCTGAAGACTCACCCCAGAAGACTGCTGGTTCTGTGAGAGAGCCAAACGAGCATGGCCCCTCCGGATCCTGCGCTCCACCTCTGCAAGCAAGCTCTGCAAATAGCGCAGGAAGTCTCTCTCATAGCCCACCTTCATAAACCGAGAGCTCTTCTCATACCTGAGAAAGATTTTAAAAATGAGAGTTCACATCAATCTGCAATAGATGAAAACAAAGTAACAAGACACATAGTATTATAAATTCTTGCTCACAGTAAGAGAATATTACATATTTAAATAAGTAATTTTTATTCAAATAAAAATTTAAATAAACTTTTGCAAATAAAAAGAGCAAGTAATTCATAATGTTTGGGCTGCTAGTAACAAATTGCAAAGATACCAGAAACTCTCTTTACTTTAACATATCAAACAACAAACTTACTGTTTGCGTAGATTTTCATCATGAATTTTTTCACAAGGACCTAAAAAAACAACACAAAAAGCTTAAGTTTGCAATCCTAAATGTTGCATTCATATCCTACCAACATTTGTTTGTGCCTCATGACAGAACAGAGCTATAAACATTTCACAAAGACTTTTATGCTTCTGTCTTTCTGCTTCCTTTGCTTGGAGCTTGAAAGACACACTAAAAAAAAGAATGCCAACATCATCAGGTAATTATAAAAAGGAGACTCTACATACAAAGTCATGATAAAAAATAGAATTTCCAGATCAAGTTTTACATCAGTAAATACACTCTCTAATTTCCAGGGTTCTCTGCAACACACTGGCTACTTAAAACAGATCTTCAGAATAAATCAGGAGGTATGTGTCCTGAGTTCATGAAGGTGACTGTGTAAAAATTCCTCACCTTCCCCAGATTCCCAAACTCTTCAACAGACTTTGAAACTAACACTAGACAAAGTCTGGTTTTGTTAACATCTCCAAACCATGTGCTACCTGTAGCCATCAACTGCCAGTAATTTAGAGCTGGTCTTCAGAAATAACTGTTACAGTAAGTGAGCCTTTCACTTTAGGTAAAGCAGCTCAATAATATATACTCACACAAAAACAGGTTAAAACCCTGGCCAGGCAGAGTAACCCAAACTAGAAACTGCCACTTGAGCAGGAGAAAAGCACCCCACACCCAATAACTTTGCTTACACAGTAAGAAAAAAACTTTAAGAAGCTTTTTCACTTAGACAAAGTAGGATCTGGAATAAATATTACTTTTAGCATAGTGTATCACTAGCAACCCTTGAAATGAAAAAAAAAAATTCCAAATGTTTTGACAGAGCAATTAACAATAAAAACATAGTTTGCAAACAAAAGCTCAACTGTAGTTACTTTTCCGTGAATAAAAATGTCCTGACTTATAAACTTACCTAAATCAGAACGGGTATTTGTAAATAATTCAGCTGGGCAAAAGCCACAAAGGTAGTATTTGCAAACCTGACAAAGAAGAAAGAAACAGGCATCATTTTTTGCGTCTTGAATTGAAAATTTTATTTAATTGCTTTTTTTACTGAAACACAAATTTTAGTGTCAAAGTTTCCTTTGAACATAGTAAAATTTCTAGAAATTTTACACACCTTTTATCTTTATATTTCTTGGCAGCAGCAAGTGCTACAAGATGCATTTTGATGACAAAACACCAAAAATCTTACTTTTCCTTGCAACAGTAATAGTTCTTAATTCTACCACTAAATATTTAAGACTAGAGGAAAGTGTCATCAATTTATAAATATAAATATTTAGTATTTCCAAAGGACAGGAATGAGATCAGAATGGACTATTTAGTAAGTTTCAGTGAAATTCTTAACTGTGCAAGGCCACGAGGTGAGAACAACTGCCAGGGCAGCATGAAACAGGCTTCCTCTGCTTGCCTGGGACTACTCTGTTCAGCCTCCACTTCCTCAGAGCTAGTGGCCTGGAGAACCAGAGCCACCTGGACTCAAACATTAGGTACTGTCCCAAGAACTTTGATGGCAATTAAAAGACAGAATTATCCAGAAGCTTTCCCACTCCGATGCTTTTACAATTCCCTACTTTAAGAATGACAGTCAACAAGACATTATATAGCTCTTCAGGCAGAAAAAGCATTAATTTTAATCTGGTTTCCTGCCAACTAGAAAGGCTTTGGTTTGTTTCTGCACAGTCTGGTTTTACATTATTGAGTCAGGTTCTTTTTCTGATAACAAGAAAAGACCACCAGAAAGTTCAAAACCCCACAAACATGTTACTCTAGACAATAAACACTTAACATATGATGGATAAAACCAGCTTTTGTTAAAACGATTATTCACCCTCACCCATGAGCATGGGCTTAGCTAGTCAAGTTGGTCAGTTCCTGAAGTTTGTGACACAGAAATATCTCCTGTCTATCAATTAGAACAGCTATAAGGGTAGAATGAGAAATACTTTCATCCCTAACTTCATAAATAATCTTAAATAATTAACTTTTCACTAGACCCTCCCCACAGATGTGACTGCCATTAATTAAGGTGTAAATCCAAAACTAGCCTGGACGTTCTTCCAGCACCTCCTTTATGTTACACCGGTTTCTAATTTTTAGCAATCTAATAATTCTGAATGCATTACAGCCTAGTTCTGATCCTCTCACATATCCTGTGGACAAAGACTTGCAGTATCTTATCTCCCAAGATACAGACTGAAGAATTTGAAGAAACAGGGGTAAGGACAGAGACTCCAAACACCACCACCTCACTAAAAAGCCTGTGATACCCATTGATCAAATTAGATCAGCCTGATTTATTTTCCAAGCTAACTGCCAGACTGCAAATCAGCCTACGGAAGTTAAAACTCCACTGACTGCTTTACAGATTACTCAGAAAAACAATCAGGCTTTCTATTAACAAACCACAGGAAAAAAACATAAACAAATCTCTTATTATGTAGTTTGAATACTTCTCCCGTGATCCAGGTTTGGACACTGGTACCTATCTGAAGCAATTTAACAAGAATAGTTAAGAAAACATGTGAAATTACCTTTTTTTTTTTCCTTCTTCTCAGAAAGAGGGAGAAAGCTACTGGACAAAATATGATTTCAGAAACTACTTCCCCTGAAAGCTGCAATATCCCTTGTTTTACTACAGAGTTACTTCAAAGGAGCAGTTTTCTGGGATGGATTTCTGTACTACTCCACAGATATGTAATTTCTCTACACATTCCCTTCTTTGTCTTTCATTTTCTCATACTCACATCCAGGTAAAAGGATTAGTGGAAAGACACTTCCCACAAAATCTGAGAGAAGGATTAAACAACTTCCTACGACAGAGACAGCACAGTAATGACAGTCTGACCACACCATACCGTTAAAAAGGTTGCAGAATATCTTCTATCAAAAAATTAGGCAAACTGGCCTGTAACAGTTTAGAAACTAGTTGTAACAAAAGAAGCAAAGGAAAAGTTACTAGAAGTATGATGAACAAAACAAAAAACCCATCCTCAATAAAACCAGAAAGAATTACAATTATTATGAAACAGCACTACTAGAAAAATCCTCTTTTTAAGAACTGGTTACAGCTAAAAGTTGCAGTAACCAATACTAAATTATGAGGTTTAAACACATCATACACTGTAATAATTATTTATATATTAAAAACCCAAAACAAACACAAACCATATCAAACAAACAAAAAAACTTCAAACCCAAAGTAAGGACAAAACAAACACATACAGCAAAAAGCTGCCATAATTTTCTTCTACCAGCTTTAGATGCTGCCACTCTACCACTAGGATGGCACTCAGTGAATTATTTGACATTCTCTCCTAGGAAGCAGCCTGCAGAGAAATACTCGCTTCAGAGTGGTTCAGGCCACCGTGGCTGAAGCAGTTTTCTTCCCTTCTCATACCTATGTCATTATGCTCTTCAACTGAGTTTGCTTCAACAGGAAAATACAACTTGCTGGAATTCTGCAGAACCTTGCAGCCTCACTCTGTGCAACATCTGCCTTCCCAGGCTGAACATCAAGTGCACTTTCAATCAATCCTAAGTAATCAACGGTGAGTGGGAACAGTAAGGGCCAAGGAACGGTTTAAGCATCACGGAACCATTGAAGGACTGAAACAGAGGTGACTGATAAGCTTCAACAGACAAGTGTCAGTGTCAAACTGCTACTGCAGGATAAGCCACAGCTTGGTCTCAAAGCCCCTGAGTGCTCACGTTTTGGTAAGACACTATGACACTACAAATAACAGGGATGCTTGGAACTTTCCACTTCCTCATCACAAATTCACTAATCCCTGAAATCTCTTGGAGGTGGGAAAGTAGTATCCTATACATACAAATCCACTAAGTTAAAAGCAAGAATTGCAAGCTCCATTGGAGTTTGGGAAGCAGTTCAAAGCTCTCCCATATAAAGAGTTATTAACAGCTCTATATTGTTAATGCTTCTACATTAACATGCTTCTCTTCTGAAAGAAATTTATTTAGTGATGGAGAAGTATCTCTCTAACAGTAATAAACAATTACAAAAGCAAATTCCTTTAGAGAGACGATTCCTAGTAAAAAGGCTAAGAATAAAATCCAGCAGACTGTGGCTTACACATCAAAAACTAGTAAATTCCTTCTCATAGTTGAGTTCTTTGAATCCATTAAAGCTCACATGCAGCAGACATTTTAAGAGCAATGCCTGCCCGCCTAAACTTAAACAAACATCAGCCCTCTCCATAACCCACTCTTAAAGATAAATGTTATTTGTTGTAGTAAAAGTATTAGTAATCAAAGGTTAAGTCCTCTCCCTCTGTCCCCTGGAGGATTAAGTCCTTAAATTCTACCTAGATACAAAGCAATTTAGGTCGGCAGCATTATAAAAGTAAAAGCACAACACATCGTGAATAGCTAAAACCATCCCATCATACTATCAATACAAACCAACATTTTGAGAAACTGCAGTATCAGAGGTTATTGCTCACAGCTCTTCATCCCTCTCCACTTTCTGAAAACCCTGAGTCTGCCTTCAAGAAGCATCAAAATTTCAAACCTTACAGGAGCACAGGCAGCACATGCTGTGCACCTTGTACTACAGAACAGCCTCAGAATTCTTATGCAATCACTATTTCTGTAAGAACTTGCTTTGTGCAAGCAGGTGGCATATTAAAGCAGGAAGGTGTGAATCAATAAAGAAATATACTTTGTCTACAGATATGATAGTAAGCAGGAAGACTAAAATGCATGATACTAATAATTTCTTCCTGCACACCAAACAAAGCCTTCTTGCCAAAACCAGGACTGATCACCTAAGGACATGCCATCACACTGAAATATACTGCAAGTGGAATTCCAATTTTTAAAGATTAAAGGCTTTAAACATGTCCAAGTTTTATAGTAAGAACTTAAGATCTAAAAAAGCTTTTATAATATATGATCTACACGTTTCATTGGCACTGCAACTATATCACACACTGAGGTATCACACCCTCTACTTTCACACTTTCCACTTCCATCTTGTATTTCACTGCACCTTCCAGTTTCTGACAGCCACATGGATGCAATCTCCAAAGAATAAGCAAAATACAAATGAGCTTCTTTTGATAATCTTCCATGTTCAAAACTGATGAAACGTGACACAAAATCCTACACTTTGGGATCAATACAACATGCTGGCATTGAGCAGGCTGCATGTTGATCAATGTCTAATCTCAAAAGAAATTACATTAGCAGATGCATTTCACCTGAAAAGCAGGCAGAGGAATTAATGTTACCATCTGAACCTTATCTGCATTTCCTGTCTTTTAAAACATATCAGCACTGCAAATTTAATCTTTAGGTGACAAAGGAAGTCAAACTGAGACACGTGTTTAACAGCAGTTAATTGTTGGGGTTTATGAACTCATCAGTTGACTATAGAAATCTAAGAAAACATTCCTTGCAGAAGGGTTGTACTTAATCATAAACAAAAGCAGAAGCAGAGCAAACAGCAGTAGATCCTGCAGGACTGAAGGCTCAACCCTACGCCTGTAACCTTCCCACTGCTCTCAGACACAGGACAGCACTCGCTTTCTGAACTGTCGGAGGACTGGAACGGAGAGGCAAGGCCCTGTTTCTAAAACAACAAAACTGACCAGCTTAGGGACTGAGTCCTTTGGTTACAGGCAAACTCTTCAGCCTAAAGCTGTAAGTGAAAAGAAAAATTGAAAATACTCTGTGATTTGCTTAACTGAAGATGAAGAAGGCAATCTGAACTTACTCAAAATGAATGATGGGGAAAACAAAAACCAACCAAGAAAAGAAGTCTTTCTCACCTTAATGAATAAACCAAACCAATCCCCTCATCTGTTCTACCTGGGCCAACATGGCTCAAGCCATTCACCTTGTATTCCATGTATTCCATCTAACTCCTCCTTATTTTAAATTCACAATCAAAGGAAAATATCTAATTGAACATCCAACTGAATTTTCTTAATAAAGTAAGTCTAGAAACACATAAACAAGGTCATGAAAACTTCCTGAACTCACAATTTCTTCCTGACATACACTGCTTACCTACAGAGCAGCATTTTTCAAGGGAAAGAATGGTTCCTCACACTTGAAAAATCTCAGGTAAAACAGGTATTGGTCCTTAGGTCATACAAATTCAACCACTCCAAACAAATTCAAACAAGTATTATCCTCCTTTATAAGGACCTAAATCCCATATAAAAACATGAAATCATGTCTTTGATTAAGATACAATTTAGAACAGCCAAATCCAAGCATTTCTCCCTCCTCCCAAATAAACAACATCCCAAGCAAATGCTAAGGGGGAAGGAGCTAAATGCTTTGTGCGGCTTTAATTACAGAAATTCCTCACTTATGTGATAAATTATTGTAACTGAGACACTTTTTTTTAACATACATCATAACGGAAAAAAAGGTATCATGAACGGGAGAAAATAAAATTTAAAAATTCATCAGTGTTCATCTCTCCCAAAGCAGCAGCTATAGGAACTCTGTAGGTACCACCGAGTTTTCCTGAAATAACTTACAATTCAACCAGGATAGCCAAAACTAACTCATCATTCATTAAAGCTTAACCAATTGGAGAAACCACAATAAATAATAACAATAGTAATAACATTGTGTTGTTTGGGCTACTTATTGCAGAAAATGAATGAACACCACATTAACTAAAGTACGTTAAGTACTCCTAAACAACAGGCTTGTTTAGGATAGTGCCCGTCCTCCCCTCCCAGGCAGATTCCTCTGAGTGAGGAAAAATGGAAAGAATCGAGCTTTTCTTAACCAAATCCTCACTTTCTAAAGTCTTACGTTTTTTCCCCGTAGTACAAGCTCCAGACATTAAAGTCGGTACGCGCGTGCCCTTCTTTTTCCTCCCGCAACACCATCCTCAGGAAGAGACCCAGATAAATGTATCTCCCAAACTAGAACATCTGTCTCACCCCCACTCCGTGCAAGTCAGCAGCTGCCGCTGAGAAGTGTTGAATTCCTTTAACCGCCCCGCCGCCTTATTTTTGTTTCCCTACGGGGAGACCGCTGCCACCAGCAGCTCTCTGGAAACCCCCGTTCCCGTTAACGGCGGCGCCGGCGGGCACAGCCTTCCCCCGCAGACACGCAAACACCGGGGCTGCCCCTCCTGTAGCCCAACAACAGCCCAGCTGTGTGGATCTTCCTCCTCCTCCTCCTCCTCCTCCTCGGTGAGACTCGGCGCTGGTCCCGCGCACGGCCAGGCCCGGCCCGCCCCAGGCCGCCATGCAGGGCCCAGCACGAAGGACAAAACCCGCACCCCGACAACCCACGCGGAATCCCCGCTCCGGCCGGCACCTCACCCCTTCCCTCTTCCCCCCTTCCCGCAGTTATCCCCGGCCAAGAGAAGCCGCCCATATCGCTCCGACAAACCCCCGGCTCCGCGCAGTGTGCGAGAGCGGCGAAGGAGGGAGGAGAGAGGCGGCCCCGCTGCACTCACGCTCTCGTGGTCCCACCGCACGTTGCTGCGCTTTTCATCCGGGGCCAGGTTCCTGTCCCGGCCCATGAGCTCATCGAGGAGCTGGGCGGCCGATATCATCGTGAGCTGCGGGCCGAATCCCCCTCGCCAGACACCAGCTCGGCAACCTCACCCCGACAACCCGCGCCGCGCCTGGCGGAGACAAAATGGCGGCGGTGGCTGGCCCTGCCCACAATGCACCGCGCGGGCCGAGCCCGCCGTGCTCCGCTCCCTCACGGCGCCTCCGTGCCCAGCCCGAGCCGCCGTGAGGCGCGCAGGCAGGAGCGGCGGGGACGGACAAATAGCGGAACGCGGAACCACCGCAGTCGCGTGTGGCTCCGCGTGAGGGGCAGCGGGTGCCACACAGACGGTGTCCTGCCCAGTGAGGTGTCATGACAAATAATGTCCAGCTCCCTGTGGTATCCCTGCGGACGGTAATCTGTCAGGACAGGCGGTGGCCAGGCCAGCGCGGTGTCCGAACGCAGGGACACAGTGCTGGTGGCCTTGCTGGTCGTGGCTGGAGGCTGAGGACACGGGCCTGGGCACAGCTGAAGCAGTGTCAGTCCCCTCTCCATCCTGGCAGGAGAAAAAACCGCTCAAACCGCTCCTGATGTGCTGCTTCTGAGTCCTCGTCCTGGGTGCCTCCACCTGTGCGTGTTCACATAGGAATTCAGGGAATTGTTGGATCGTTATGGTTGGAAAAGGCCTCTAAGGTCATCCAGTCCAACCATCACCACACTCACCAATAAACCATGTGCCATAGCCACACGTTTTTCAAGCACTTCAAGGGATGATGACCACGACTTCTCTGGAAAGCCTGTCCCATGCTTGACAGGTTGAGGGAGAATAGATGTCTTGCATACGTAACAAAAATCTTAGTCTTTGACCTTGGAACCAGCCCATTTTGTTTTCTTTTCTAGATGTGACTTTGTACTCGGTATATACTGAATTTCACATAGCAATTGTCAACTATTTCCCAATTACTCAACAATGTTTTGAATGCCCTAAGTACCTACAATTAATTAAAAATTTAATTATATAATATTTTTTGAAAATCTTGAAGCCAGTGCTCATGCTGATCCTGTAAAACCCGCTTAGATGTACAGCAACTTTGTTCAGCATCACTGAGGGCTTCACACAAGCACCAGTTGTTACCTGAGGAGTTTCCTTTCGGAAACATCTCCCTAATGCAGCACTGTGAGGCACCACCAACTTCTTTCAAGCTTTGCAATTTTGTAATTATTTAGGAACCCATCTGAACGGTTGAAACAGTGTGATTGAAATCAACATAGCACAAGTTATGGTATGAATTTTCAGTCACTATGCTGCAGTCTGGGTTTGGGGATGGGAGGGAAGGTGGGGTGCTGATGCTGGGAAATGGGGCAGAATTGGGCTCTTTCAGTTTCTTTGTAATGCTCTGATTGCACTGAAGAAGCAAACAGGTGCACTGGAGCCCAGCTACTGCAGAATTCCCTGGCATGCTGCCATAACTGCACAGAGCAACCTGTGTTCAAAAGTCTGAGTGAAGTTTGAAATTATTATTTTGCCTTTTTATAGTGGTAAAGTTTTTACTGACTGCTCTGTAACTTGGTTTAGGACAAATCCATGACAACAAAAAAACAGCTTTTCAAACCAAACATGCAAATGGCAGGAATTACCTATAATCTTTCCAGTTGCTTTGCGGACAGATAGTGATCTTTATTTTACTTATGTTTTTTAGGGATTCTTTGACTCTGCTGAGAATGCACAAAGACGACAAGAGTTTCCTATGCAGGATGAGGGGATGCCCCATCTCTGGAAGTGCTCAAGGCCAGGCTGGATGGGGCTTGGAGCAACCTGGTCTAGTGGAAGGTGTCCCTGCCCATGGCAGGAGGTTGGAACGGGATGAGTGTTATCTTCCTTCCCAACCCAAATCATCATAATCTTAAAAATCTCTTAGTACCTCCTCATGCAGTTACCAGGCAAAGCCAGTTTTTCTGAATCCCTCTATTTAGCCTCTTTAGCAGAGGCTAAATTATTATTATTAAAACTATTATTATTAAAACCAATCTTAATTAAATTACCACAGACACTCATTGAGCTATAAATAATGGAAGTGTCCAATACCAGGCTGGATGGGGCCTCTAAATAACCTGGTGTAGTGAAAAGTGTCCCTGCCCATGGCGAGGGATGGGGGGTGTGGAACGAGATGATCTTTAAGGTCCCTCCCATCACTTAACACTCGATGATTCCATAATCCACTCCACGATAAATCGACATCCCGCAAAAACAATCGGCAGAGCAAGAGACGGCACGCACGACACATTTGCACGTCAATTAAACAACGTTTACCGGGGACTGCCCCGTCCGGCCCGTCCCCGGGCAGCGGCCGCGCCCCGGAACCGGCTGTCGGGGCTGGGTTGTCACCGGCAATAGTGTCCCCCGCGCCGGAGCACGGCGGGGCCGCGGCGGGCGCGGAGCGCTGCGGGAGGCGCTGCGGGAGGCGATGCGGGAGGCGATGCGGGAGGCGGGCGGCGGCTGCGGGGAGATGGCGGAGCGGGAGCGCCAGGAGCGGCTGCGGGAGGCGGCGGCGCTCGGCGACGCGGAGGAGGTGCGGCGGCTCGTGGAGCTGGGGGTCGGCCTCAACTCCCAGAACGAAGTCAACGGATGGTAAGGGCGGTGGGGAGCTCGGCCCGCGCGGTCCGGGGCGGAGGCTGCTGCCGGTTCGCTCCGCACGTGAGAGGCGAGGCGGAAGGTGAACTGAGGAGGAAGGAAAAGGTCGATCCGCCTCCGAATACTCTGCTATGGAGCTGTCCTTATTCCAGAGGGGATAACCAGGGCCATAAACACGCGTCCCTCTCCACCTCCTGCCCTTTTTGCCCCTTCTCCAGGTCACTGTGGACTTACTTTGCAGTGTTGGTTTTGATGTTTTTTTTTCCCCAGCCTGAGACGGCGTGGTCTGTCAGAACACAAACCTCAGCTTTACATGCTCTTGCCTAAGCAGAAATATTTATTATTAACTCAAGTTTGAAAATGACTTTCTCTTTCAAGCAGGGAACTTGTTCCAGTGACGTATACAAACACTTGGGATTTATATCCACCTGAGAACATTAAAGAGAAGGCTGTTCTGTAATAGACACTTGTACAAGTAACACTGTAGACACACACACATAATTTTATTAGAAGGAAGATTTTACAGGGAATGCTCAGGGATTTTTGGAGACTGTTTTCTGCAGGTTCAATTCAGCCTGTATTTGCTGTGCTGTCTCATGCTTGAAATGATAAAAAAAAAGGGGGGAAAACTTTTTACACAGACAGTTATGAGACAAGGGGGAACAGTTTTAAATTAAAAGAGGAGAGAGTTAGATTAGATGTAAGGCAGAAATTCTTCCCTGTGAGGGTGTGGAGGCCCTGGCACAGGTTGCTCAGAGAAACTGGCTGCTCCTGTCCTGGAAATGTTCAAGGCTTGGTTGGACAAGGCTTGGAGCAACCTGGGAGAGTGGAAAGTATCCCTGCCCCTGGCAGGGGGTGGAATGAGATGAACTTTAAGGTCCCTTACAAGTCAAACCATTCTAGGATTCTGTGACATTAAAATTAAAAATAGGAAAAATAAAATTAGGAAAGGAGCAAGACTTTTAAAGATGAAAGTTCAATCAGGAGTTTTGAGAAGCATGGAACACTTAACAACTTGAGCTTTAAATTGTGATTAAAATTAAAGCTTGTAAAAATATAAAGCAACTGATTCAAAGGATGCTGAATTATCTTAGTGAGTGAGATGAAAACCAGCCTGTCATCAGAATGAGTTTGTGTCTAAAACTGGAATTGATGAAATAAGTCTTTTAATAAAATTAATTCTTTTTAAAATAATGATCTGGTAGTTTTTAACCATGGCAATAAATGGATCTTCATTGTTGTTTAAGTTTGTACAATTAAAATTTTTGCAGCGAGCTTCTTAGTATGTGTGATTCCTAGAGGTGCTGAGTACTTACATTTGGTGAGTATCAAGTCCATGGGTAGATGGTTCCTCTCTGCACAGGCCACGTGGAATGGCCATGATGAATCCCAAAATGAGGCTGTGCTGTTGAGCTTCACATATCTTCTCTAAAAACTCAACCAGCAAATTTTGTTCTCAATGCAAATACCACCCTGTCTGGCTTTGCAATCTCTTTCTGTAAAGAAACCCCACCAAACCAAACCAAACCAAACCAAACCAAACCAAACCACCTGAAGTGGAAAAAGCTTTTTGAAGCTGGACTTTCAGCTGACAGTTTTTTCCCTTCTAAGTTTATTTATCTCTGCTTTATTTTATATAATTCTTAAAAAAATAAATAAACAAACTTGTAGAAGGGCTGGGCATGTTCATTTGCCTGAAGAATTTCCTTCTGCTAGAGTTAGAGAATTAAAATACAAAAGCTAGAGAAGGGTCAAATATCACTAGAACATGGGTAGGAAAAAATGGTACAACTCTATAGCAAGTTAACATGTGAGTCTGTAAGTACACACACTAAATGGTACACACACTAAATAAGATCTGAGCACTAAGCAGCTTTTATGTTTCCTTAATATGTTTCTCTGGTCAGAAGCTGCAAATAATAATTTGAAAATACAGAAAAGGGATTAGTTGTGTGCATCACTTAGAGATAGCAGAAAATTAGTTGTCTGCAGATCTAAGCCGAGTAACTGATGCAGCAAATGGCAACTGGGCAAAGAACTGTTCTTAGAAACGATGCTTTAAATGTAATTTACTTGCCAGAAAGTGCAAGTAGTTGTGCTGGCAGCATTAATTAAAGAGTACATATCCTAGGGGGATACCAGTAATAAATCACATATACACAAACACGAGTATTCTAAGGACAGCTGATTCTTTCAAAGATTAAAATGTCATATACAAACCTTACTTTCATACTTATTTTTCCAGTAGCCTAAAGACTGTAGCCTAAGAAATGATAAATTTAAAAGGTCCTGAACTTTGAAAATATGACTGCAGTAAAGAGCATTGGAGCAAAGAGAAAATTACATCAGCAGGTGCCATTGCTGACTCCCAATCCAGGGCAAATTTCCAACAAAGTATGCAATTCCAACCTATTTTACATGTACATAGAGTGTTCTTCTCATAGGCAGTAAGAATGAGCGGAAACAAATCTGCCATAACTCAGGATTTGACACAGCATTTGTGTTTTCCATGTGCAGGACCTGTTTGCA